AAAATTTTTTTTTTTAAGTTTATTTAAAAGTAGCAATACCACAGCCTTCTTTGGTGCTGTGGGTTAAAGTGCAGCACTACAAAGCTAAAGCTGCTATTTCAAGTTTTTCAAAAAAATAAATAAATATTTAACAACAAAAAAAAAAAAAAAAAACAACTAGCATTTTTCATCTGTCAGATGTGAAGTTGATACTCTGCCTTTTCTCTGCATCATATCCAGCGTTTCTTCCTGTATAGGACTCAGTGGTTTTTAATCTTGTTCTCACTCACTTGTTATTCTGTCTGCACTGCACCATAAACCCACAGATAATGGATGCTGATGATCTTCTGCCACTGACAAGTTCTGGATACATAATAATCTATAGATGATTGCTAAACATCTAAATCAGTCATCCAGCTATCACTAAGAAGTTGGTTCAGTCTCCTTTATTCAGTCTCCTTTATCAGTCTCCTTTATTATAAATATTTGTAAACATGAACTTAAACATAAGAGGAAGTAGACTCCAAGAACCACTGTTCTTGGAGTCTACTTCCTCTTATGTTTAAGTTCATGTTTACAAATATTTATAATTTAAAAATCTTCCCATTTTTGCTAAAATACTCTGTACTCAATAGTACACATCATACTTGAGTTTGTTTTATTTTGAGTGTATTGGGATCCTTAGCTTCATTTCAGAAATTTTATTCAGTGAGCATAATCATGAGGTGATTTACAAAATGTGACTCATTTTTTCCTTTTTTAGAAATCTGTCTAGATAATAATCTCAAAATGTGGCACCAGGATAATCAACACAAGATTAAAAGTGTGGAGAATGAACATGAATATGACATTTTGGGGAAAACATTTCACTCAAGGATTAACTTTGTTCATTTAGGAACAAGACCCTCTCAATGTTTCACAGGCAAACAATATTTGAAACATCCCTTTGATTTTCTTATTCCAAAAAATAACTGTGGAAGAAATAAACTTGATGAGCTAAATGATAAATTACTATTTTACATCAAACCTGACAGAACTCATTGTGGAACAAAATTCTGTGAGTACAATAAATGTAGACAAGTCAGCAATAAAGAGTCCTGGCTCATCACAAACCACATAACACACACAGGAGTCTGTTTATGCCCCGAATGTGGCAGAATCTTTAACAAGAAGTCACAGCTCATCATACATCACAGAACTCACACAGGTGAGAAGCCTTATGGATGCAGTGAGTGTGGGAAAGCCTTCTCTCAGAAGTCACTGCTCACTATTCATCAAAGGACTCATTCAGGAGAAAAACCCTATCAGTGTGGAGAATGTCAAAAAGCTTTCAGCAGGAAGTCACCTCTCATTCTGCATCAGAGAACTCACACAGGAGAGAAGCCCTATGGATGCAGTGAGTGTGGGAAAGGCTTCAGCAGGAAGTCACAGCTCAAAAGACATCAAATAACCCACACAAGAGAGAAACCCTATCAGTGCAGTGACTGTGGGAAAGCTTTTTCCCAGAAATTTAAGCTCATTACACATCAAAGAGTACATACAGGAGAGAAACCCTACAAGTGTGGAGATTGTGGAAGAGCCTTCTTTTGGAAGTCACAGCTTATTACTCATCAGAGGACACACACAGGGAAGAAGCCTTATGCATGCAGTGAGTGTAAGAAAGCCTTCAGCAGGAACTCACTGCTCATTAGGCACCAGAGGATTCACACTGGAGAGAAACCCTATGGATGCAGTGAATGTGGTGAAGCCTTCATCAGAAAACCACAGCTCATTAAACATCAAATGATTCACACTGGAGAGAAGAATTATCGGTGCACTGAATGTGAAGAAGGCTTTTATAAGAAGTCAGAGCTCATTAGACATCAAAAACTTCACTTAGGGGAGAAACCTTACGGCTGTGTGGAATGTGGAAAAACCTTCTTTGGGAAGTCACAGCTCCTAACACATCAGAGAACACACACTGGAGAGAAACCATTTGAATGCAATGAATGTGGGAAAGCCTTCACCCAAAAGTCAAGCCTGATATCACATCAAAGAACACACACTGGTGAGAAACCCTACGAGTGCAGTGAGTGTGGGAAGACCTTCAGTGAGAAGTCAAGTCTCATTCATCACCAAAGAACCCATACTGGGGAAAAACCCTTTGAATGTAGTGAATGTAGGAAGGCTTTTGCCTGGAAGCCACAGCTCCTTCGGCATCAGAGAATTCACACGGGAGAAAAGCCCTACGAGTGCAGTGAGTGTGGTAAAGCATTTGTTCAGAAAGTGCAACTCATTAAGCATCAGAGAAATCACACAGGGGAAAAGACCTATGGATGCAGTGATTGTACAAAAGCTTTCTTTGAAAAGGCACAGCTCATTATACACCAGAGAATTCATACAGGTGAGAGACCCTATAAATGTGCTGAATGTGGGAAGTCTTTCACGAGAAAGTCACACCTCATGAGGCATCAAAGAATTCACACAGGAGATAGGTACTATGGGTGCCCTGAATGTGGGACAGCCTTCAGCCGGAAGACACAGCTCATGACCCATCAAAGAATACATACATAGACAACATTTTTGCAGGGGGCAGGTAACCTGTGCCCTCAGTCATATCCCTTATGGCACTGCAGGCTCATGAAGGAAATAAGACCTGTCAGTGCAGTGGCTGTTGCAAATTATTTGTGATAAGGCAAGTCTCACTAGATGGAATTTTTAAAGAAGAGTATTTTTTAGTAAGAAGACAATATTAGCAAACCTCCTTCCAGGAGACACAATTTGCTTCATATTGATGACTCCTCAGCATGGGAGTCTCATCAGTACTAAGCTTTTCAGCTAACTGACAATTAATTAAATGTTCAGAAGACCTAAACAGGAGGAAAACTATTGTAACAAGTGAGTGGAAGGTTTATCATGAAAGGATACCTCACAGTACAATAAAGATGCAAAAAGGAAGTCCTGAGTATCATAAAGATTTCCTTCTGAGGAGTAGTGCTGAAAACCTAAAAGAACTTGTTAAACATGATCTTGTTGAAATCATTCCATAAAGAAGTGATCATTTTTAAATAACAGGTGTTTTTAAATGTGACAGTTTCTGCTTTCTGCCCTGGTGCTATCACATGACCTAGACTAACACTCTTGCCTTAAACAGAAACTGTGCAATACATATGAAGTAATGGTGTTTGGGTATGACAGGTTTGTGTTACCTGCAAGATGGAAAAACCTGGTGAGAAGAGCCCCGCAGTTGCCTCGCTCTTACTGGTGGAGCCTCCTGGCAGTTCATAGACAGAAATAACTGGTCCAGCTGAACTGAACAAAATTGCTGAATTGGCACCTGGGGAGGCCAAAGTAGCTAAAATTTGCAGGGCAAGTATTGAACAGGAGGGTACTTCCCAGAGAGGGCTACAGAAAACTAGAAAGAGTTCCAAAGTGTCTTGGCTTACAATTGATTAACCGAAATGTGGGATATCCTGGATGCATCCAGGAAATGTGGCCTGTGACCAGGAAGTGGAGTTACAAGCAGTAGCTGAGCAGTCCTGGGATTCAGTTCAACTCAGAGGATCTCATATCCCACCAGCCAGAGTGGGAACAGCTTTTAACATGGGACATCAACAGAACTCCCAAAGTGGGATGTCTTAGTAGTGAGTGTGATGGGCCCTAGATTTAAAACTACTCTGGACACAAAATATCTGGGTCTCAGAAGTTACCTGGGAATTACCTGGAAAGTGAGTCAATAGGAAGATACTTAAGAAAGCTTGAGGGGTTGGAATTTGTAGACAGGGAGGTTCAAACAGGTATCACAAATATAGAGGGAAAAATTAATTTGTTGAAACATAAAGTGGAAGCTACATTTTTTTTAAAGCCCAAGCAGAATATGAAAATTAGTATATGAAAATTTGGGGGGAAAAAACTTAACAGATTAGACATAGAAGGGGGAAAAAATGAACTTGAAAAGAATAAAAACTGTCTAACTACATGTATAGAGGGAAAAAAAGGATGGGAAAAAAAAAGAGAATAGGGGTTCTGTAAATAGTGGCATAATGCATGTGCAGCTGGAGTCCCCCCAAAGAGGTAGAGCGAATGTTTGCATAAATGCTGAAAACTTTTCAGGTATAATGAAAAGTTTTAACTCCTCATGTTCAAGAAGCCGACAGACCCCAAAACAGAATATACAAAGGAAATCACACCACTGTGCATCATAATGAAAACCAGTGATAGAGAACAGGAAAGCAGCAAGAGAAAAAGACAAGACACAAAAGGTAAGTACAGGCCTGATCAGAGGCTGCAAGCTGAAGACCTCAGTGTCTGAACTGAGTGAAAAAAATCTTTGCTGAATCCTAGGGTTCTGCTGCCTCTCAAAACATCTTTGAAAAGTGAAAGTAAAAGGAGAGTTTTTCAGGAAAAAAACAAGTCAAAAAGAATTTATGACCTGTAGAAATATTAAAGGAAGTTTGTCGGCAGCAGGAAAATGACAATAAGTGGAAATACAGAGGTCAATGAGGAAATGAATTCTGGAAATTACTGTATGGTTAAAGATTTCTTCTCACTTTAAAATCTTTTAAAATGTTAATTGACTGCTTAAACCCAAAGTAATGACTTTGAATTTGGGGTAGAGGTTAATTTAGAATTAACTTGTACAGGAAGTGACACTTCAGTGTGAATCTTTAGAGGCAGCTGACTGTACAGTGTCATCTGGGTCGGAACCTGGTGTCAGGACTCCAGGTGGTTCTGAAGGGCATCTGTACTGAGGTGCTGTGCTAAGGGGGCTCACCAGTACTGGTAGTCTGTATGTGCTCATTGCCTGCCCCTCAGTACCCATCTCCTTACTTCTACCAGCAGCTCCAATGAGTGACTCTCAGTGACCTATTGGTCAGACTTATGGTGCTAACTGCTTCTGGTGCTTCACTGTCTGGCTTTTTTTTCATTATGTAACTGTTCTCTTTATTAAATGTTCTTGAGTTAAAATTGCCAGTATGCGCTTGGTTTTCTGTGCCCTCTGTTCAACATGAGCATTTAACAAATGGTCAGCATTGCCATTGGAACGTGGGCCTTATGGTGTGTGGACTGGCACCAGGATATCCCATGCTAAATAGCAACACTCTCATGCATTAGTAGTTGAGCAGAAATTCTAACAGGTGACAAAGTTCTGGACTTTTCTGGAACACAACCCCACCACATATGCCAGTGGCCCGCAACCCTAAACTAACCTAAGAGAGCAAAACAGTGATGTCTATGGTTACACCTGCATCAGGCAACTTACTAAAAAGCTCTGTTATTATTTTTAAAAGATTTTATTTATTTACACAGAAATGGGGTACAGGCCAGAGGTTTAGGGGCAGCAAGAGGGGTCACCAGAAACAGAGTGGGCAGCAGAACAGGCAGATGGACAAAGTACACTGCTGAGGGGGGCAGCGAGCAAGACAGGAGAGGCCTGCTGCGCCATGTGGATCACCTCCTGAGCAGGAATCAAACTTGCCCACAGCTTGGCTTAGCTTCACAGTGCAGTGCTTCAACCTGCTGCGCCACCAGAGAGGGCCCAAAAACTGTTATTTGTTAAGTAAGTGTGGACAAGAAAAAAGATGAGAGAAGGAACAAGGCCAGAACCCTCAGTGGGTGGTGTGCTGTACAGATCAGTGTGCCCTGGTCCTGTGGCCATGCTCCCTGCACCATTCACCTGCCACCCACAGGCAAGACCCCACTCTGGTCAAAACTCAGAGAGGACTTCCTTGCCAGGCACACCACAGACAGCCTCTCCCACCACAGAATCACCAGGAGGAAGCTGGGCCAGAGTAGCTTCATATATATCCCAGAAATAGGGCACATCAGATTAGAACAGCCCACAGGCTGTTACAGGGGCCAGTATCTGCCATCTGCCATCTTCCTGGCCTCTGGCCAGGCTGACCCTGCATGCATCCATACTTGGGAGCCACGGCCTGCGCTCAGCTGTTTTGCATTTGGAGGAGCTCTTCTGCAGGTTTTCTAGCTTGTACACCTTTGATGGTGCTATCTGTCATTCGATCTTGTCTATTCAATTAATGGGGGGGGGACCTGTGTTTTGAAACAGGTGTGTTGGACATAGCTGGCAGCAATGCCTAACACTGCCCTCTGCATATCAAGGAGGAGGTCCCCACTTCAGCCGGTGGTGCCACATGGTGGTGGACAGGCTGCCCCTCTGGAGCAGCAGCCTTGGTGGACCTCACCAGCATTAGAAAGACTTCGTTTGTTTCATGTGTCTGCAGAGAAGTAGAAACAACTCGGGACCACGCAGAAGGATTCCACCCAACTCCCCCCTAGAACTGTGCCCTCCATCTGGGGCAGCTCCCGGTGGCCTAGAGCGCCTCCGGGACTATTTAGAATGTGAAGACTAAGGGAGGCCGCCGTCAAGAGCACAGGGGACAACCTCAGTACACTAGGTTACATTCAGTGGCTCAGACAGCCTTGATGGCAGCGCACCTGATGGAGCCGGCCCTGAGACACCGTCCTGCTGTGCCCCTGGCTCTTCCCCGCAGGATACGGTGCCACTTTCCAGAAATGGACAGAAACAGATGAAAGGAGGGTTACTGCGCTGGCTGTGGAGGCTTCAGGAAACCACCCCCCTTCGACCCTGAATCAGATGGACATAGGGTGCTGGGTAGTGGGCTGCTCTGAGGCAAGCATAGGGCGGTAAAAAAGGCAAAACTCTAAAACCTCACAGAATGTAGTTTCTTACCCTTTATGACAGCTCTACCGAGGCCTTCTGGGTTCTCTCCTTCCGGCGTTATAGTGTTACTTAGAAACCGTGTTCTGCTTAGTAACAGGCTGCCCCGAAGTCCCATTGGGCAGGGCCATTGGCACAAGCAACTATTGGCTAGTACGGCAATCTGTCGACTAGTTCCCCGCCTCTATGTTACCAGAAGCATCTTGCCGAGCAACGCGGTTCTCTTTCGGGCGATGCGGGTGAGGGGAAGTGTTCCCAAGGGCCAGCGGCTTCTCTACGGCTTTGCGCCCAGTAGGCGGAGCTGCCAGGGTGCCGGGTTTGGGAGAGGGGGCTTGAGGACTCCCCTTGGAGCAGGGCACCCCGTCTGGGCGTGAGCCTTGTGCGGGTGCACGAAGTCCTGCGGCCTGAGGAGGGGTCCACGGTTGACCTCAGTGAGAGATAGGTGCTGGAGCTGGCTGTGCGCCCAGGGCTGAGCTGGCAGGGCTGTCCCAGGCCCTGCACAAGCGTCACCGTGTGCCCTGGCGTCCCTTCTTGTAAACTTGAATTACTTTTCTTTCTAGTATACATTTAAAAGGCAAGTTTTTGAGATTTTCTTGCTTAAAATTTCTTTTTTATAATGAGATCCCTGGAGTAGGGTTCTTTAAGCCTCCAGGACACATCTGACTTGCTATTTAATGCAGACTCCCAGCCCCACATGCAGTCTGAATTCAGTTAAGACAGGGGTAGGGGGGAAGACTTGTAGTGCAATTGAAGATGGTAACTACCATAAACTAACAATTGGGGGAGGCATAATGAGGTGTGAGGATTGACATCAGAGTAAGACAGTACGGAAAGTAACAGAAGGGGTTATTTACATGGGGAAATTTCCCAGGTGACATTTTCACTAAAAAGCACTTTCCCAAGAGATGGCATACAGAAAAAGGTATTTTAAAATATAACGATTTGACTGTAACAGAAGTAAACTTCATATAAATTCTAATTCGCTAAGGTTATTCAATAATTTATAACAATAACGATACATATTACATGGGTCTGTGTATCCACACATCCCTACAAAACCATAGCTCAAAAGATTTTATGTGACTGATACAGTAAGATATACCACAAACATAAACCTATGTTTGTGTTTGCCATTTGCTCAAGTGACAATACTGTCCCTGTTTTCCTTTTGCTGAGATCAGTTCACCATGTCTGTGTTCTTCTCATATTGGCTCTGGTCCTGTCTGGGCTTCTTTGAACAATGCCACAGTGATCACAGTGTAGTGAGACAGTGATTTCATTCCCTTTAAACCACAGAAGTGTGGTTACTATACAAGTAGGATTTTGTTTTTAGTTCTTAAAGGAACCACAATAGTTTTTTATAATGACTGTTGTCAACTCACATCCCCACCCACAGTGTAGCAGGGCTCCCTTTCTTCTACTCCCTCACCACTTTTTTATCTTGTCTATTTTATAGTAAATATCCTAGTAGTTGTGAGGTGATCTCTTCCTATTATTAATGTTGAACATCTTTTCCTGTTGACCTTCTGTATGTCTTTGGAGACATGTCCATTCAGATCCTCTATTTTTCAACTGAATTACTTTTGCTGTTGTGACTGATTTGTTTTCTTTTTTCTGCTAGTAACCCTGGATTAACTATATTAGCTGTGATTTTGAAATAATTTCTCAAGTCCTCCTGGTTGTCCTTTCATTTTGTAGCTCATTTCTTTTGCTGTACTTTTATTTTTTAACCTTCGTTTGACCCCACTTGTTGATTCTGCTCTTTTGGCTTCTGCTTTCTGTATCACATGAAAAACAATATTGTTGCCAAGATCTCTGAGGGAGCTTTTTCTCTTACATTTTTCTCTTTGAGTTCTCTTTGTGGGTGGGGATGTGAGTTGAGAACAGTCATTATGTTTAATCTGCTATTAATCGGCTCCTTTCAGCCGTAGTCATAAGTCTCTTACAGTGGAACAAGGCATGAGGTTCACCACCTGTCAAAGTATCAACATGCTCCTACACCAGGAGCATAGGACACTTACTGCTGCCAGCCTGTGCTGGAGGTTGTGTGGCAGTCAGCTGTCTAGGAGGAGGAGGCAGGACAGCTGAACTGAGTTCATGGAAGAATCATGGCGCCTACACGACTGATGTGGGGGGTTTGACAGGCAGCTGTGATTTTTGCCTGTAGCCAGAGTGTAATGAGTTGTTAACCGTCAGTCATTCTTCAAAGTGACAGACCAGACTCTAGCCAACTGGCTGTAATTCAAAGGTCAATAAGTCAAGACATTGGCCAGAGCCCAGAGAATGGCCTGCAGTTCTGTCCACGAGTGAGAGAATGCACCTGCACAGCAGTCACTGCAGCACGCTGGACAGCACCCCCAAGCCGCTCTGGTGAGCCAGCCTGAC